GAAACCTCCAGCTGGGGACAGCGATAAGAGCCTGAGAGAGAAAACATCTTTCCCCAGCACAGTGAGATTTGGTCGAGGATGTTTCTCTACAAGCAAGTGGGTTTGAATAGCAATTCATTAGCCACGTGAACCTCTGCAACCTTCTCTGCGGCAGGGGATTGGGAACAGAGGAGATGCTGATGGGAGCCATTCTAGAAACAACTGAGGTCTGTGGAGCAGGAAATTTTCACTTTGTTTTTCAGTTTAAGCCAGAGATCCCCAAGCTCTCAGCTCAGAAGCACTGCAGCCCCATGGCGGGACGGACGTGTGTGCTTCAAGTGCCTTGGGCTCGGGTGTCCCGGTGACATGACCTGCCAGGCAACCAGCCATGATGCTCTCCATCCAAGGGGACACCTGCATTTTGATCTCTGCTGGCCACATTTTCCAAGCACGAAATAGGCGAACGTAGCCCTGCTCACGCCCCTTTGCTGAAGTGGCAGGAACCGGCACACATGAATGGCCCCGCTCGCGAGGGCAGGCAAAGTCCTTCAGCATGTGCAGCCCTGGTAGAGGCAGGAGCTCACGTGTGGTGGGAGCAGGCTGGGAGCACGTACAGAGCCAGGTTTTCACATCAGAGATACCCAAAGTACAAACTGATGCATGGGACGAGAGCTCATCTTTGTCTCACGCTCTCTGGTGAGTGCTTTTGCCCATATAACTCAATGCCTGGACATGTAAGAGACCAACTTTCTGGCAAAACTGCCCACCAACGCCTGGTGGAGCTGGGTACCACCCACAGCATTTCTGATCTTGCCAACAGGAGAACATGGGAGAGGCCAAAAGGGACTTTAAAGTACTCCCAGGACTTGGTGCACTGAAATGTTTCTCTGCTTTGCAGATCATCTGGAAAAGCTCTTGTGGCAGCAAACCCTCAGGCTTGCACATTCTCCCCATGCGTGTGCTGACCCCATGGATGAGCTGCAAACCCTCTCCTCCCAAAGAGGTAGAAAGCCTGGACTCCCTGCTCTGTGGAGCCGATGTCCACGCATCCCATGGGATATTCTGCACGGGGGTGATGGAGCAGCCGTGGTAGCTGATGGCCCCATCACTGGGAATCGCCCCACTGTGCTCTGCCACATTTTGCACCGCTGCAGCAGTGATGCCAAACGCAGGAGGATCCAGCCCCGGTGTGATCAGGCTCCCGAAGGCGTATGCTATTTTGTTTTGCTAACGCTGTTGAAAGGCAGGGCAGCTCCAATTTGCCCAGAGCTGCTCGGTTGTAACGGGGCACCGCAGGGAAGGGCTGTACAGAAAACCACATCTGACAGTGAAAGCATTTTGCTGGAGTGCAGCATGAGAAAAACAAATTACTATGGCA